CTGTTGACCTACAAATTATAATTCTACGCGCTAGCTGGTACATGAAATCTTATGTGTAAAAGAAATTTACGAAAACCATGATTTCTCCTGCTTGTGTGGTATTGCAGAGTCCTTCATTACCAAATTCTTCCCGTAGATTATTGATAGATCAGTACTACCTTCTCAAGACACTTCTCAAATTTCAAGTTGAATATGAAGCCCTGTGGGAAGATGAATGGAGGTATAACGTCACCATCACTGGTTCAACCAAACATTTAATCACAATGACTTATCCAACTGATTTTCAGGAATGTACTGTATATAATTATACCCAAACATTCCGAAAAGATCTATATTGAAGGTCTGGTGTGAATCTAGTTTTAATACATGATATTTGTGTTATTTAATATTGAATTTCGTGATCTCTTTTTTAAACATGTTAGGCAAAGATTGGATACTGTGAATATCAAAATAATATGCAGACACATATTTAAAAAATTTAACAATTTGAATTCATATCTATCTGTACACCTTACATTTATATGTATTTTACAGATGTTTCATATTTAGCCTGCTCAAATCATCTTTGTTTAAATATTGGTTTATACAAAAACTATTCTGAGGATAAATAACCACTTTCATATAAGCTTTTGCGCTTACCAAAATTTGGTCACAATGACTTCATTGAAGCAAAGCGAAAAAAAGGCCCAATCTGAATATTTCAACCAGCGCATATTTAAGAATTGAATGAGGCCGTAAGATTATTTTCAATTGTTTTTCCTACGATTAAATACTGGATGAATATCATCATTTTTTAACACCAAGAAATTTGCTTTCGGACAAATTTTCGATTTGGATTTGAAACCGATTTTCCCTTTTAAAAAAGGAGGTGGAAATACTCGGCCATTTTGAATTATTCCACTAAAATGCATTTGGAAATCATTATCAAATTTTTCCAGTTTGCTTATAAGTAATCTCAAATGATCAGTCGAATTTATGAGAAACAATATAATTCATAATGATTGATTTCGAGAAACATTCATGCTATTTATACTATTTTTATTCGAACTGTTGTTTGCAGATGTATCAAATAATACAACGTTTCAGCCTTCGGAATAATATCAGGGTTATATTGATATCTTTAATATATGGAAGATGAACTAGATAAATGTATTTAATCTACGAGGATAGAAAATGATAGATCCACTGCTTTTGTCTAGAGATGTCGATAGACATGATTTTTTGTGGGTATAATCTATCAAATATAATAGTGAGATAGAGGCCGAAGATGCAATTTTAAAAACATTCTGATGAGAGACAAAGATGACGACAATAGTCCAAATAAAAAGTAAAATAAGATGAATCTTCATATTTTAAAAATTCAAACAAAAAATATTAAGATAATATAGATACAGAAGATGAAAAATATGATATTTTAGACTATTATAGCGAGATGTTGGTTAAAAATTTATAGATGAAAAAAATCGTTGTGGATCCGATCAGAACCAATCGAATCAAATGATAGATAGATCAAACAGATAGACTGATAGACTTGAGCGCCTGTTGGGAATGTAAATCAACCAACACCTAAATGGAACTCGTACATACGAACCATTTACTAAAGAATTTGAAAAAATCATTGGTTTGTGTTTCGCTCCAACAAGTCAAACTAACTCTTCCTGTTATCCTCTTCCTGTTATCTGTCTACCTTTAAAAAATATGAGTACCGTTGCAATATATGAAGAACGAAAAGGGCTTCATTTTCTCCCCCTTCTTATAAAAAGTCATTTTGCGTCCTTTTATTGACGAATAATTTATAATCAACAACCCCGTTTCACCAAGACGGAACGTTGCAAGTCTTTTTCCTTCCATTTATATCCATGGAATAAAATGTTTGGATGAACTACAATTTCCACCAGTTGAAACATTTGTAAAAACCACTTCTTCCTTTTTCTAAGCGAACCACATTCGTTCCCTTCGTATTCCCTTGGTGAGATGTAAGTTCTCTCTAGATTCTTTCCCGAACCGCTTCCTCTGGAACTCCTCTCTCTCTCTCTGTATTCTTTCGCCACCACTTCCATTTTGAAACTTCTTCAAAGAACTAGGGTTAACCATTATCTTGGAACAGATATCTGCATGAGAATGGGTAGGATCTTTAATATAATCTGCCCATCGATTCTTACAGGTTGGGTTTTTTAAAAAAAAAAATTTTCTATAAAAATTCCAAATAAATATTTGAATGTCCAAATATCAGAATAGTGATTAACTAAAAAATTTTCATTTTGAAGAATCTTCCATCCTATATATATATATATATATATATATATATATATATATATATATATATATATATATATATATATAATAATTTATATTTTAACTTTTGTAATATGAATTAACGTCTTTGAGTAAAAATAAAATAGAATGCTCCATAAATAATGAAGTTCTAATTGAAAAAAAAAATCGAATCATTTTATATATATATATATATATATTTATATATATATATATATATATATAATGAAATATATATTTTTCTATAATAAAGCATCAGTCAAATTAATGTCGCAATTAAATGTGGATAATGTGTTTAAAAAAATCATATAAACAACAGTGAAATAAAAATCTATTTTCGAAGATAATAAAATTATAATTTTTTTAAGGCAAAACTATCAAAATAAATGAATTTAAAAAGAACAAAGACCACAAACAGACGTCATATACACATACACACACATACACATGATATATATATATATATATATATATATTTATTTATACACGTTTCATTAAATAATATAGACAAGTGTTGTCTATTTATTTTAATAAAATTTTTTCATAACGTCTGATAAGTTTAATAACATTATCATTAAACGAAGAAAGAAATTCACAATATTGATCCATTTTTTTTTTAATATAATCTAAGCTTTCGGCTTACATAAGCCATTATCAAAGATGTAAATTACACAACATATTAAACAATATACGGACAAGACAGTGATGATAGTCTGTCATTGTTTACATGCAAGGTTTCACAAACAACGATAAACAAACGCATATAAGACGCTGGAAGCGAAAATCGCACCGCATCTCATGACGTCACACATGACCACGAGAGTGAAACGAGAAGAATGAAGTATGGAAAGCCGTTGGTATAAACCAATGGCTTCTGTTACCAATTATAGACATTTAAGAATATTTGTAGAGATTGCCATAATTTATTTTGTTTAGGTTAGGTTTCAACTGTTTGATGTATAATGCTTCAAGAATTTTTAGTTTTTGTTTATTGTTTTCATGTTAAATATAGTTGTGTTTTCAACAAGTATTTTACGGAATTGTGTATGCGGGCAGGCATGTTGTTTTAAATGCCTAAAAATGTTAGAGTTTTCATTCAAATATAGTGTCAAGCGTCGTGAAAGCGAGTTTGTGGTGTGACCAACATAAATATTATTTAATTTGTTGGAGATACAATCTCCCAGAGGGCATTTGAATTTGCAAATCGCTAACCGGGGGAGAAGAATCATTGCGAATATATATATATATATATATATATATATATATATATACTTGATTTCGATTTAATCTAAGGCATCGTGCAGAAACTAATTAATCCACAAAACAGATTTTTTACAGTGAACTAAAGAATATAAAACAAACAACTAAAAATAAACAATTGTCTATATTATTGAATGAAACATGCATCAATGAAAAAATGCTGCCTAAATACACACAATATATATATTTATATATTATGACAATGATGATGATGATGGTGTTTAAATAAATAACAACATTGATTCATTTCTATGAATTATATTGGAAACTGGTTTGCTTCCCCAAGCTTCGCCTACTCTTTATACAAACTTCTTTTTTTCTCCTCCCACTTCTCTCTCTTCAATTATGTAAGCACTCCCACCACCACCACCACCACCACTACCCAAAAAGATTTTTAAGGTCAAGTTAATTCCGCTACAATTTTTTTTTTTTTTTTTCTTTTTGGCTTTTTCAAATTGTCTGGCTATATTTGCATCATTTAATAAAATGTGGTCGGTCTGATGAAGCATGTATATATATATGTGTATATATATATATATATATATATATATATATATGTGTGTGTGTGTGTGTGTGTGTGTGCGCGCGTGTGTGTATGTATGTGTGTCTGTGTGTCTGTGGGTGTGTGTATATATCGACTGAAATAAATTTATAATCGATTTATATGATGTTTTAAGTTTTTCCTTACTATTTATATATATATATATATATATATATATATATATATATATTAAACAGTAAACAGTGAAAAAAAAACCAAGCTCAGACAGTCTGTGCCATGCTTCAACGCAATCTTTAGGGCTGTATATATATATATAATTGGAGATTTTTGTGTGCGTGTGTGAGTTTGTGTGTTCTTACCAGTGATAGGTGTCGATATCAATTTCTTTATTTCTTGTTTGAAAAATCAACAGCGAAAAAGTCTCTCATCCGTCCATAAATTGAATATTACTACCGCATCTGGTCTGGTGCTTTTGTTATGTTTCTTGACAAAATCTAAAGAATCAGCAATTTTATTGGTCCTGACCTGGCATAACGAAGCTTTTAATATATTTTCTATAAATATTTTCATGGTAACTGTTCTGATAAGCTTTACTTTGGTACCTCGACTTCACATTGTACTAGATTGTAAGTTATGTCTCATCATTTTACAGTTGGAAATGCGGGATATAACTATAAGTTCTTTGCAAAAATTTCTTCTCGCCTTTTTCTCTTTTTTTTTTTTTTTTTTTTTGCTTTCCAGTCAATTTTGATCTTCAAAAAATATAAATGCAATGTTAATCGTCGTCATTTATTTCCTTGGATCCTGTCCCTTTATTGTACGCTCTCCTATATAAGGATTTTCCTCTGATTATTTCACTCTCAGTAACCCCTTATGTCTTAGTGGCTTAATCGCCTTGCTTGGAGTGAAATGATTAAAGAAAAACATGCAATTAAAATTCAAGGATTCGCCATATGCAACAGACGGAGATAGATAGATAGATATTAACAGACATAGATAGATAGACAGATAGATATCTGTGATGAGCATATAAATATAAACTTTGAAGTAAAGCTTACGCTCATTAAATCCAAATATTATATATTTTGGCAAGACTCGATAGTGGCATTCTCAAGAAATTTCAAGTTGTTTTCGCTTTTTAAGTGATATATATATATATATATATATATATATTAAGAAATATAGTTTTAATGTCTGCCATATTAATGGGATAAAGTGCTCAATATCAGAGATAGAGCGTATGTAAATATAAATATAAAAGTTTGCGTCCAGCATGAAACAGCCTGTCGCCTCTCAGTGTTGACTTCAATGGTCACTTTTATATTTATATATATACCTATGTGTGCGTATGTGTGTGTCTGACTTTGTCTCTCTCTGTGTGTCTTTGTGAAAGTGTCTTTGTGAAAGTGTCTGTGTGATTCCATGCGTGTGCGTGCGTGGAGAGAGATATCACGGAAATACTATAGGGATATGTATGAAAACACTGTATATAGGAAGATAAATGTATGTGAACAGACTTAGATAAATACAAATAAAAAAAAAAACAGATAGATAGATAGAGAGAGAGAAAGAGAGAGAGAGATTTCTTTTTTTTTTCTGTTTTGTACATCAATTGATACATCACTTTCTTCTCGTTTTCTCCCCATCTTTCCGTCCGGCTCGGAGACTGAGTTAAGCCAACCAAATAAAGCTAACTTCATGAAACAAAGCCCGTCTGATACATCATTATCGACCAGTGGCACAAACCTTAAGTCCCGGTTAGTCGCTGCTTACTTATCCCAGTCTCTTCAAAATTCCCTTCCTGCATAAATAATTGATACCAGGTATGGGTACAAATAAAAGGAGATAAATCCAATTAGATTTGTTGTATCTTAGCCATTTGCAGCCAGCCGGGACATTCAATATTCAAGTCAGTAACGATCAGCATTAATAACTGCAATTTCCGTTAGCAACACGTCAAAGAACCGACGTCCTGAATGGACGCCGGCTCTCTGCCATTTTTGGTATAGTATTTAAGAACTTTTGTTTACCCTTTTACAAACACACACACAGCCACTCATACACACACACACACGCGCACGCACATACACACACACACACACACACACACATATACATATATATATATATATGATTTGATCTCCTGACAGTGAGCCATGCCATTGGCTTGAATAATTTATTTCGTTTACGACGACCGCTGCCCTAGCTTGTTTTACTTGATGATATAGGGACGAAGACCCCCATCTAGTTTTTCTGGACCAGGAAACTATAAATATTTTGTGACGTTTCAATATTTAAACATTCACATACTTGCTTTCATTAAATCTCCCCCTCTCTCTTCTAAAACTGCTTTGGTTTCACTCAAGGAAACAAATCTACGATTTACTTTGGGATATAAAAAACAGTGCGTAGTATAATGCTGGAAATTTTATTGTTACCTGAAGATTTTCTTTCAATTTGCCTTCCGTTTTATTTCTTTTCTCGATTGCCTTTTTCTTTTCTTTTTTTCCGTTTTGTTTTTTTTATTGATCCTTTACGATAGGTCAGTTCGGATGGGATGGTGCGTTTACACCTTTTTGATATGTAGATTTTCACCTTTTTTTTATTATTTTCCAGTGTGAACATAAACAATGACGTTTTCTTTTGACTCGATCCAATAAAAAGTTTAGCATTTTGGCATTTGACATCAGAAGACAACCACTAATCGTTTTCTTCTACTGAACGGCAAATAAACGTTTCTGTAGACGCCCTGAAATGACATCAACTTGATAATTACTGACAAATTGTATTTGTTAATTAGTCGGCTTATATTGACAAAACTTATCAAATAGAATAGTTTTTTTTAGCTAAACGTATGACATCCAAAATATAACATTCTGTGAAAGTAGATATTTACTCAACCCCCACGAGGTCAGGTTGTGACACAAGGTCGGTTTAATGTGGGGAGCCCGAGCGCGTGCACCCGGGCAAGGAACAAAAATTCTCCGAGCCCCCGCAACCGTCGGTTGCGCTGACCTCGGTGCGTGCACCGATCCTTCTCTCTAGTGCAATGAGAAGGCGCGGCCTCGGGCAGCTGTTCCCCAGGGCTGGGCATCTCTCAGTATAATTTTGCTCAGTTGCGATTCTGTCCTTTGGCGGAGTCGCCCGTGAGCGCACTCTGTCCAAGGACAGAGACGCATCTGAGAGATGATAAGTAGATGTGTATCTACTCAAAAAGAGTAATTTACACACTACACAGTCTGTGAAAATATTAGATATTTTAAAGTCATCAAAGAAAGTATTAGATATTTCAAAGTCATCAAAGAGGACTGATCAGCCATTATTAAAAATTGGCTGTCAATAAAAAGACTTTACATAAATGTCATCCATGTTAGTAATATAAGAAATAGACAAAGTAATCGTTACAGAATCGAACACCATAGATAATAATAAGTAATTCTGTTGCACAAAATGTTTCCCTTTTTTTACTTTCAACAGAAAATTCCTAACAGCACGGAAAATGAAATCGGTAAACTGGGCTCGTTTATTTTGAGAAACTCATTAATCCACTCTTCCCAATAGGTCAGATCAACGATTACTCCCAGCTCCAGGCATAACTTGCTTCGAGCTACTTAGAGATGAGATTAACAGCTCTAACCCTAAACACCGTTTTACCCTAAGAAATGCCACGGACGCTGCATAGTCACCCGGCGCTCAACAAGCTTATAATTTCTATTTGCTTTTGATTCAACCAGAATAAAATTTACAAGCTAGAATAATATCTGCAATGTTATCTGTTATGAATGAATATCATTTATATTATTAACATTCTAAATAATGTCCTCATCTTCGTTGTTATTCACACAACATTTCGACCATTGTGCACACCAGCCTTCTTCAGTTTTCTTTTAATCCGAGTAACTTTCTGTTAGTTTCGAACTGTAACTTTTATTTAATCTCCGAGAGTAGATTTTTCCCGTTCCGCTGTCCATGTCTAGGGATATCTCGTCTTGCTCATTTTAGTTATTGCTGGCTCTATTTCTACTTAGTCTAAGTCTGCGCTACCGGTTTGGTTTGGTTTGGTTTGGGTTGGTTTACGGCATATCAACCTCAATGAATCATTTAATGCCGACAAGGTTTTTATTGCTAGTTATATATTTTTTTTCCAAAAATTTATTGCTGGTAATAATTTTCTTCAAAAATGTATTGCTGGTAATAAAATGTATTTTTATACTTTCATAGTGTTCTGACCCTTTTGGGGGAGGTTAACTATTTGCCCATATCTGGGACACTAACAAGTGTTACCACGCTCTTCAAAACCTCCTGATCAGAAGCTTGTTGTTGGATGTAGTTTATAGTCTTACCCAGGACACGGATGTAGGTTATAGTCTTATCCAGGACTCGGATGTAGTTTATAGTCTTACCCAGGACACGGATGTAGTTTAAAGTCTTATCCAGGACTCGGACGTAGTTTATAGTCTTACCCAGGACACGGATGTAGTTTATAGTCTTACCCAGGGCACGGATGTAGTTTATAGTCTTAACCAGGACACGGATGTAGTTTATAGTCTTACCCAGGGCGCGGATGTAGTTTATAGTCTTACCCGGGACATACGTGACATCTGTCCTCCTTTACGGCAGCAAATGAAAGATGAAGAAGAGACTTGAGGCCGCGGAGGTATGATTCTACAGAAGGATGCTGAGGATATCATGGACCAAGTCTGTGACGAACGATGAGGTTTTGGAGAGGATGCAAACAAAGAGGAAGCTTATAATTAACATCCGGAAGAGGCAGCTGAAATTTCTGGGACACGTAATGAGAAAGAAAGGCTTGGAGAATCTGATACTCGTAGGGCGAATAGAGGGAAAGAGAAACAACGGAAAGCAACGCGTGACATACCTAATCGGGCTTAAGCAAGTGGATGACAGAACATGGCCTGGATGCAGTAGCAAAGAGACAAACCTTATTGAGAGCCACAAGGGAAAGAGGGAAGTGGAGGGCCATGATCGCCTATGTCCTGAAGGGACACGGCATATAAAAACGAAAAAATGTATGGCAAAATTTTCACTCGTATAAATACTATGGTAGACTAGTCTTTCCAAAATGAAGTCTAACGAAAAGAGAATCAAATGTTGGTAACTGCATTTTCTCTTTTAAATGCATTAACAAATGACAAAGTATAACATTTTATGGTAAAGAGTGACATCCATAGTATGATGTGTAATTCTTGTAGTATTGCTCAGAAAGTAATGTTTTGTCTACGCTTCATAATACTAGACTATTGCACTTCCATTCTGCGTCAAAGAATAAAAATATATAGGTAGAATAATAGCTCTACAGATATATATATATATATATATATATATATATTATCACCAGGAGAAAGTGGAAAGAAGAGTAAGGTTCAATCAACATTTCATTTTCACCTTCTTAATGGTCTTGTCCATTTATTCACGATTGCTAACGCCACTAAAATCCGAGTGACCGAAGGCAATCGCTCATTTCATTCCTAGCTGCTGGGTTCAGTCACTAATGCACGTTCTTTTAAAAACGTTTCATTCATCCTGTGACAGAGTATCGGACTGGATAACTTAAAAGCCCCATTTCCTTTGTCCAAAGATGTTATAAAACGGGTTTTTATTACGTGCATGCCCTTTATAATTAAGCATTTGTGCGTGTAGCTCATTCCTGAGTAGTATCGGGTTCGATCCCAAGGATGATGGTTGCGAGGCTTTTTACTCTCAAAGATATTCTAATTATTCAATCGTTTCATCTCAATTCCAATAGATCATAGGTAGTTACAGGAAGTGAAAGTGAAAGTGAAAGAGAATGAGAAAATGGAAAGACTTGAGGAAAGGACAAAAAAAATGGAACAGGGTTCAAGAAGATAGAAGATGACGATTGATGTTGCATTTCAATTTTTGTAATTATCAAGGAAGCAAGAAATCGGAAAAAAAGTTCCACTGGTGAGAAGTGCGAAAAAAAATCTGTAGAGGTTGGGATTGCATCATTAATTTGCATAAGGGTCTACGTTTCTTTTTGTGATGCTTACTTACAGGTAGTAATTTGATTGCTTTCGTGTCTTAAGCCAATGTTCTTAATAGTCTGCATCTTTTCTCTCCTTTTTATTTACAACGACAGCTTCAAATATTTCCTACCTCGTTAATCCGCTTTCTTTGTTTTATGAAATTTTGTTCTCAAATCTCTTTTTGTGACATTATTAAATCCATTTTTGTTTATCTTTCTATTCTTTTTTATTTCTTCTTTGATTCCTGTTCTTCAGTTTTTCTATGTTGCGTTGCCATCACTCATTGATTCACACAATATCTAGTTTCTCTTCTAAGCTTATATCTATGAAGCAACTCATGGCAATCTTCAGATACCTGAAATTAAAATATAAATACTAATGAATAATGTATGTTCTTTACTTATTTACAATATCATAAAAAAAATCTATAAGAGGTATAAATCTCATTATACCAAATAAGTTATTGTAAACATTTGCGATAAAAACAGATATTATAAGCTGAGATTTGCATCGTATATTTATCATATAAAATGATAATGTTACTAACATCGATTGAGTGATATCAGTTTTTCTTGTAACCTAGGAAGGGCTACTGAATGAAGAAAAACCAAAACGGGGGTTTGAAATGAAATGGTAAT